AAGAGGGGAGAGGGGGAGGGGAGAGGGGGAGGGGGAGGGAGGGGGAGGAGGAGGGAGAGGGAAGGGGAGGGAGAGGGAAGGGAAGGGAAGGAAAGGAAGAGAGGGAAACAGCAGCAGCAATTTTAATGTTCTCTTGCTGTTTTCTGTACACATTGTTGTCCAAAAAGACACAGATGATTGTAGTCTTAGAAATGTAATTTGGGAAGCTCACATTTTAGTAATATTTAGAACTTACAGAGAAGTTTAAAGGGTCTTTTCAAGGGTGACAAAGATGAAGTTTAAATGAGTTACATAGGTTTTTTTGTCAAGAATTACAATTGGAGAATAAATCCACTTCTATAGTTCATTGGTCTAGTATAGAACAGCTTAGACCATACCATTGTTCTAGGAAGGAATTAGTCTATATAATCTTTAGAGTGCTCCTTCTCAGCAAAAAAACTTTCTTTTGGCATGTCAGCAAGTGGTCACCTCAGCACAAGTTGGAGACCAAAGGTCACAATATGTAGTCAACTTTTTTTTTGACAACATCATACAGCTGTCATGAAAAGACAATATTCAGAGGGCATTTTTCATTGAGAGCAGGTACTTTATTTAGATAAGCACTATTTTGTGTATACCAGGAAAGCTTAGGAGGAATGAATAATCTAACGCTACATTGACATTAGGATTAAAGCTGTATTAAGTAATGCTTATGCTTTTGTAACTCATGAAATACTACTTAAGTTTTATGGATCATATTGGTTTGGTTGGGTTTTTTCCTAAACAGTGAAAAGAACCTCTAGCTTGCCTTGCTTTACAGTACAAAAGGAGAAGCACATTGCATCCTAAGCCTTTTACTCATGCTAAACTGGGCTTTATTTGTCTTTTCCTTTTGTGTCACCTATAGGTAGTCAAGCACTCAGCACACAATAAATATTTATCTTCTAAGTGGTTATTTAATTTTAAAATGTTAATTACCCCTGTAAAGAAGAGGAGCAACTTTTCACAATTCTCTAAAAATAGAATTAAATTAAACACTGTGTCTATACCCAGTCAAATAAAATATTGTTTTCCTAAGCATCTATAAATAACTCCAAATAGCAGCAGGAAGGATCTTGGGCTGCTAAATTTTAATCACTGCTCTGTCAATAACTACCTCTTTGACTTCAGAGAATACCCTTCCACATCCCCAGACCCCTTACTTCTCTCCCACCCCACCCCCAGCCCCACCACTGTGTCCTCCCACCCCCAA